GACAATGTCCACTGTTTTTTTGCTCGATTCTTACCTCCTTTCTTCACTCTTACTTCAACGGTACTCGTGCTTTCTTCTTTAGCAGCTCCAGCTGCAAAAATAGTGGCAGTAGTCGAGTTTCCCTGGGCCAGGCCTGTTCTGGCTTGCAGTTGAAAGGTTCCGTTTTGTGCATCGATCATCACAAATTCACCGAGGCCATTAAAAGTATAATTCCCGCCATCCAGAGTCTTGAAATGAGGATCTCCCCAAAACCAACCTTTTAAATGGAAACGTCGAAACATTTAAAGAAAGGCTTAAAACACTCGAGGTGATGAATCAGTCAGTTAATGCTCAATTCAGTCATTCCATTCGAATTCAAGACATTGGTTGCTTATCATTTACAAAAAGGTTTCTAGAAAATACGGTTGGAAAGTGAATAAAACAAGACATTTTGGGCCGCTCCATCGAAAAAAAATCGATTCAGGGAGCAAGGGAACATCTGAAAAGGTACTCCCGTTTTCCCGGGGATGTTCCAAACAGAAATTCGTGTTCCTTTTCTTCAAGGCCGTCTTTTATACCAGTTTCAGGCCTTTGCGGCCGTTTTTGGGAAACGTGAACGGTACTGATTTGTAAAAATGGTAAACGCGATTAAGGGAAAAATTTACCGGTTACTGTCCTAAATTTTGATTGCCATTTAAGCAACCGTTGACCGACCGGGCTGCCCTCGTAAATGGTGAACAACCCTTTACGTTTTTCTTTCTTTCGTTTGTAGATCAGCCAGCCAGCCAGCCAGCCAGCCAGTCAGTCAGTCAGTCAGTCAAAAAGGCATTCCAGAGTTAGTTGGTCAATCAATGATTTATTCGGCCCAGCTCAGCCCAGTCCTCTTAGTTGTTAGGGTCAGTAGATTCATATAATTCATCGTTTCAGTCAGTCAGTCAGTGAGCTTTCGCAATGGATAATTTGGCTAGTCGATTTTCTTTTCATGAGGACGGTGGGTCGGTCAGTCGGCATGTCGATCAGTTAGCCTGCGGGTAACCCGGACAGCATGCTCGCAGGCTGTTGATCAGTAAGTCTCTCGGTCGGTTGGTCCGTCGGCGAAGTGTTTCATCATGATCACTTGTGCAAAGGATACCGGTATATCATCCAGTCAGTAAGTTATTGTGTTTGGCAAGGAGGAAAGAGAGCTTATTTTAGAGTACACGTACGTATTTGTGGAGGTATATATCGCTGGCAGTCATCAGACGGGCGAAAAATGTAGAACAAATTGCAGAATGGTATATCAACACAGCAATGTTTATAGGCCTGCTGGTCTTCGTAAACACTTTGATCACGATTCCACCCCCACCAATAGTAATAATAATGTAGTTGCATTTTAACATGGCTTCCGTCTGGTGGTCCAATCTTAAGAGATGCCCAGTCTTGCCAATCCGTGGAATAACAGCAAAGTTGCCTCATGCTGAAATATACATATCCTCCAAAAAAGTTATACCGAATATACTTTACTCGTCTGGATTCGAAGCACCAATCGGGCCAGGAATACTTTCGCCAGTCCCACAAGAATCTTCTGTCAAACCAGGCTTGCCAACCTGAGCAAGGACAGGCCATGCTACTGTCTGACTTAACGAATCTGGCATGCCAATAGAGAAAGAGGATTTTCAGTTGAAAGCGAGCCCAAGAGAGGCACCTTTCCAGTGCTTTTTCTCCATCACTGTTCTCAATCCTCCAGAAGTACCTTCCCGTCAAGCCTGTGTTTCCTGCCCTCTTGTCCAGATCATACATTCCATACAAATTTCTCGAGCTAAAAATAAATACAAATAACACTTTAAAATTATTCTCGTTTGTTCTCAAACACAAATATTGTTTCTCAATTTCAAGATTATTCCAAAGCCGTCTTTATTTCAACCCATTTTTGTTTTCTGCAGCAAGTAACAAAGCAAGAAGTAAAGTACTATAGTTCAAGAGACAGAGATGACGTAAAAGATTTTAAATTTCTTAACCCTACCCTTTCATGTTTAAATAGTGTTCGCCATTATCGCCTGCGTTCCACCCAGCAGCGGGAATTCCATACCAGTCTGTCCAGTACCGATAATAGTATCTGCAAAAAGGTTAAATATGATACTTCAAAGTGTATAATTGATATCTGAAAACGTTTCATAAGTCAGAAAGGTCAATAACCAAAAGAAAAAGCAAACTGTAATTTCATCATGAACATTAAAACAAGCTAACACCTTTCCACTCATTTAATGTAACACAACAAGTTAAACCCTTCCCCACTTTGTCCTTATCATGTATATTGTCATTTTCTTCTTGTTCACTTCATATTTCCTTTTTGAAATTTCCATTTTTTCCACCTTGTTGTAAGTTTTTCCACTTTTTGTCGACCTGGATTTAGCGTGCACGCATTCCCTTAAGCCTGGTTTCCATATGATCTTCCGGATCGTCCCGATCGCCCCAGTCGTTTCAAAATATTTCGAGACGATCCGGACGACTGGGCGATTGGTAGTTTTCATATGATCGTCTCGATCGCCTCAAAGGCAAGAGACGCGGGGTCGTCAGCGATGTCTCTGGGTCAGACAATAGAATTTTTGGGCGTGTTTTGCAAACAAGCCACATAAATGGATGATTTTTATTCGTAAAGCGAACCTCGTATCTTTGTATTTGCCTTTTCTCTTGATTTTGCGGGATTGAGAAGCTAGAAGAGTTCCCCGAAGACATATTATCTCTTCGAAAACTTGATGTCACGGACTTTCTCTAATTTCAAATAACCCCCATACGCGCTGCGAACATTTTTGTATTATTTTTCGGCTTCAGTGCCATCCGGGCCGAATTTTTATTCTCGATTACTGGAATAAAAGCGATGACCTCTTGGATAGCCTTCGATCGTCCCGATCGTCTCAGTCGTCTGAGAGCGTTTCCATATGATCGCTTCAAAATTTACTTGATCGTCCCCATCGTCCGGATAGAACTCAACTCTATTCAAGCGATCGAGGTCGTCTCAGTCGTCCGGGTCGTTTGCGATCGTCTGGGTAGCGTTTCCATAGGATCGTCCCGATCGTCTGAACATTTTTGAGACGACTGGGACGATCGGGACGATCCGGACGATCATATGGAAACCAGACCTTAGACTGCTCAAGCGTTAACGAGCGTAAACTGAAGGCAACTAACGCAAAAAAGCCTCATATTGAAAATGGTTTATGGCCATCATACAACTCAGCGAAAGATCGAGCTCTAAGAGTGAAGTACTCTTGATCATGCTGAATTATTCTAAGGACACCGTCATCCATAGAGCTTTATTGTTGTCATTGTGTGTTGAGCTGCTTAATTTATGATACCATGAGCATGATTACGAGAGAAATCCTGGCTAAATTTTGAATTTTTTGACAGAGCGTTCTTACTTGCCGCGTGTTTGATGGTTTGTACTTACGGTAAGACTGGAGCAACCCATTGAATTCCTCCATGAGGATAATTGAACATCAAAAACGAGTTGAGGAAATCTGTAATGATGACTGCTTGAAAGGTGTTGGACTGTAAAAAAGCAATGTTGAGTCAGCGAAGGTAATAGACATGGGAAGCACGCCATCTAGATATACCTTGAGAACAAGCTACCAATTATCTTTCATAGTTCTTGTTTCTGAACTGCCAAGAAAATGATCAACATAATGGTGATGATTGGAATTCTAATTTCCACACTTCTCGTTACAGCGATTAGAATTTTTATCATGTAAAAGCTAAGCAATTGTATTCACCTATAATTAGTATTAATTCAAAATAATCCTCTGTTTTAAATCCCTAAAAATTTCGGCACGAGAGAAAGCTAACCAAATTTGAAATTTTCCTACAATAACATAACAGAAATTGTCTTGGGAGAAAGGCTTCAATCGTCAAAAATTAAAATATACCAGGGCGTACTGCTGTAGTTCGGGGCATGTTTTTGGGTTTGTCTGTCCTGAGCAGCATACAAAAAAGCATTATGACATTAGGGCCATTTATACCAGGAAAAATAAGACGCGAACTGTCCTATTTATACGAGCATGTCTTATCTAATAAGACGCGTCTTATTTTAGACGAAATGTGCCGTTTATACGGAACGTTCGCGTCTTATTTTTCCTCGTATAAATGGCCCTATTGTTCTGAACATGGCTAAAAAATGATATCGTTGTCTTATACAGTGGGTTATTCATGTTTCTTGTTTGTCCTAAGTAGGGTCCTCTGGGGGTTAAGATCGTCTACGCGAATATCTCATATTGGAAAATTAAAACTATCCTTTATTGTCAGAAACATACTCCATTACGGCAGTAAGGTTTTAATTACTTACCAAGGGACAATCAAGATTGGGTATACCCCAGTTGAACCAAGAGTAGTACCAATAAGGGTAGTAGACATAGGGACATAAGTTTTCCCAGGTTACAACCAGAACCCATTCCGCTTCAAAGGTGGAGAATTTTTTGCTATTGTCATACAGTCGAACATGTTCGGAGGCTTTGTCCAGAATTCTCCTTGTAGGATCAGTGACTTGACTGTACACGTGATAATATACTTTTGAATATCCAGCTTTGAAAGCCAAATACTGGTCCGTGAGCGCCCAGAATGGAGCGATGATTGCATAATTTCGAAACCATCTATACACACCGAACTTTTGCGGCCACCAAAAGCTCCATTCATAATTCAGTTGTAATTTTCCATTGCGGCATATCTGCAAAATACAGTCGATGAAATTGCCTTACTTTTTCATATATAAGTTTCGATTTTTATCCCAGTTCTCTGGAATGTGCAAAACAAAAATAAATGTGGATAGCCGACAATATAAATCCTTAATTCAATTTAACCGCCACACAAAAATAAGAAAAACAGATTTTTCGCAGTCGTTACAACTCACTTTCTTTCCAATGGAGATAATAAATAAATAAATAAATAAATAAATAAATAAATAGGTAAGTAAGTAAAACTATTTCAATAAACAGTAGAAAAAGACCCACTTTGTATCCACTTTCAACACACTATAAAATTTATATGGCGATTAACAAAACCAGTTTCGTCTAACGACCTCTTTAGTTGATCGCCACGGTATCATGCATGCACATGCATGCATGCATGCATGCATACATACATACATACATACATACATACATACTATATTCCCTCTTCCTCAGAGACAGTAATTAAAAAAAATCTATAATATACTCATAATATTTCAACAATAAGAACTATTTAATTAGAGGAAAATATCGATAAAAACTATAAAAAAGATTAAGTAAATATAGTACAAACACAATAAAAGGATAAAATGAGTCTAAAAAAATATTGCAAATAGTAGAAGTCAATTTTAATAAAGTATCCAGACAAAATTACGTAAGAGCGTAAGAGGCTTAATTTAGGTATCGTTTAAAATGGCTCACTGATTTCCAAAGTTTAGATCATTTGATAAAGAATTTCATAAGGTGACTCTTTGGCCGCTAAGTGGTTCTAAAAAGAGGAATTTCTTGATTTGGAGACTGTAACGTCGCATCGTCTGAACTGTGCGGATAGGTATCCTGGGGCACGTCCCGCCATGCACTTGAATGCCATTATGGCATCTCGCTAGTAGAGTAGCTCATTAACCGGCAACCAGCGCAATTCCTTTAAAGATGGAGTTATGTGGTCGAATCTCCTTTTCCGCTTACAATACGACAGGCGAAATCTTGGACTGCCTGTAACTGTTCGAGAGCTGTTACTCCAAACAGTGAAGCACCGCGAGTTGGACTCACATTCCTGTTTCCCTGCTAGAGCGAGTTGGTGGTCTCTTTCTCCTTAAATGTAACTTTGAACTTAAACATCTTAACATCCACATTCCATTGATCTTTTACGAGAAAGGCTTGTTGGCCTGGCAATCCATAAATTCGTTCACTCCCTCCTCAAAAGAAGAAATACTGAATGAGATCTTATGGAACAACCGCTTTATTAGGATCAACAATTATTCAGTATACTATAAAGCATGGCATGTAGCGGGTGTTGAAAAAATTGGAGATCTCTTCAACGGCAATACCTTTCTATCTCACCAAGACTTCTGCTCTTATTTTGGTCTTAAAACTAATTTTCTTACCTACTACGGTTTATGCAAAGCAATTCCTCCTAACTGGATTAAAATAATGAAAGGTAAATTACAACCGCCTTCGAATAAATCCATAAGTATGGATAGAATTCCCGTTGAGAAGCTTTCTTCTTAGCAAGTTATATGTAAGTAGGTATTAAAGCTTTATGTAAGTAAGTAAGTACTATGTAAGTAAGTCAGCATTATGTTTGTAAAAACAATAAAAAAAAAAAAAAAAAAAAAAAAAAAAAAAGAAGCAATAGGACAGTTTACTAAAAAAGAAATGTATATTTTATAGTAGTAAGAGATTGCCTGGCGAAAGAGTGCCTAGAACTTGCTTAAATTTGTTTGAGAGGTGTTACTCCAAACAGTGGAGCAGTAAAACAGTTTACTAAAGACTAATGCAGTTATCATAGTAGTAAGAGACTGCTTGCCGAAAGAGTGCTTATTTCGATTAATCTGAGCGAGATGTGACATAGACGATGAAACAGGTTGTATTACTTGGTCATTAAAAGTTAGATTTCAGTCCAAAATAAAACCGAAGTCTATAGTAGTTGTTACAAGCTACAAGGTCCTTCTCAAGAAGGGACAGATGAAAATCATTTACTTTTGCAATATTTTGTATGCTTTAAGAACTCACTAAGTTCGTCTTGTTTGGGTTTACGAGTTGGTTGTCAAAGCATCAGTTCCGGATTTTGAGCAAATCCTGGATTCATTCTGTTTCTGACTGGGGTACCAAGGATAACAAGAGTTTCGTACTGTCAACATAGCATTGTGGGGTGCAGTGCTGCATGACCTATGCAAGGCTGTTAAGAGAAATACTGAACAAGAGCGCCTCGAGGATACTTCCCTGAGGTGCACCGTTAGTTATTTGCACGCGGTCTGGCAGAGTAGTGTTGATGGGTACGACTTCACATCGGGACGACAGATAACTCTGGAACCACTGCTTGGTGGTGGAAGATGCACCAACATCCTAAAGTTTGGCCAGTAGAGTTCCATGTTGTAAGCTATCAAAAGCCTTACTCATATCGACAAGAACTATTTCGGTTAAGTGTTTGTCGCCCATAGTGCGTAGTATCTGATCGGTAGTTTGAATCAATGTGGTCTCATTTGTGTGGTATTGTTTATTTCCGCTCTGTTTCGGGGTCAAACGTTCCTTTGAGACTTGATAAGTGGTAAATTGGTTATGAGCCACTCTTGCGCACACTTTTGACAAAGCTGACAAAAGTGAAATTGGCCTATTGTTATTGGGTACCAGGTGATTGCCACTTTTAATGATGGGTGTCACCTCAACCAGCTTCCCCGCTTCTGGGAATGTAATGGTGGCGAAGGACGTGTTAATGATAGACGTGATAGAAGGCAGTATTAAAGGAAGACAATCTTTAATTACTCGTACAGGAATTTTTTCCATGCCAGGTACTTTGTGTGTTGCCATTGAATTAACAGTTGCTTCTACCTGTTTGTTTTCTACAGCGTATAAAGTGAATTGCTCTGATGTCGCGTAAGTTCTTGGAGTGAATGCGGTATTTCTGAGCTCATCATCAAATTTTGACGCTAATTCAGTGATCTCCTTTACTGTATTTCCGCCGACATTTGCCACCGCTTTTTCATTTTAGGCCGTAAATTCGTTGTGTTTGTGACTTGTTCGATTTGCATAAGTGAATTGTTTTCCAATGAGAGTTCGTACTGTTTTTGTTATTTTTAATCTGCTCCATCACAAATTTCCTTTCCGCAACTCTAATTTCATGTTTGACCTCTCTTTGAAAATTTCTTTCTTTCTCTCGCGTTTAAAACTTCTTAACTGACATGCACTTTACAAATCAAATGCTCCTAGTGCGACAAACTCAGTGAGCGAAATCACCAGGGTCTACAACCTCTCCTCTTTTTGATTCGCAGTGTGGATTCGCTTATTTTTTTACGTTCCCTTCTTAAAAACCATTTGTTTTTTGACGTTGTCGTTGCCGTCGTCGATGTGTTTCCTTTAGCTGCCTAATACTCTAAGAACCAGGAAAGCTATTCTGGGTCAAAATATTTACCGGATAAATCGGTGCAGGCATTATTTTGAAGATAAACAACAGAGATATTTTTAAATTCCTCCTACCGGGCTAGTAAAATAGTCGTTTGAATTCTACACCTCTGATCTCTATTTCGGGGGCTTAACAAGTCCCTGTTTCTTACGCGTTATTTCCATTATCTGAACGCTGGAAACAAGCTAACTTGCACTAGAAGTGTGCTAACTGGATGGCGTGTAAGTTGTGATACAGTAAAAATGGTGGACTAACGTTCTTCAAAGTCACAACTTGAATGCATCCAGTCTTCCCCGGCCACCTATGCCCTTTCCCTGGCTTTTCCGTTTTTGTCGGTGTGTTGTTTTACGGTTTTAGCTCAAGTCAGTCTGAGTCAAAAGGGACCTTAAGCAACACGACGACGACGGCAGTGTAAAAATGAATTTGCCTTCCTTGAAGCTCCCTTATAATATGATCTGCTGGCCTGAAACTCATCATTAGTATTTCTATGGCCCTTCTCTACTTCCAATAAAGACGAAGGTATCCTCTATTTGAAAAGAAGATCAGTCGCACTCTGAAAAACCGTCAACGTCTGGCTGCTTTCTGGGAAATTGGGACTTTAACTTACCCGTCTTAGTTTATTATTTGTCTCCCCGATTGGTCAGCAATTGTGCTAAGCTAGAAGGTTGAAGTTATTATTGTTATCATTATTATCATTATTACACATTAATGAACCACACTTACATGTAATTTGTAATGCCTCTCACTGAAGAATGGAAATCCAAAGCGATCTACTTTGAGTTCCAAGCAGTGGCCATAGTAGTAATAGTTGGAGTCGCCAAGACGAAACTCGCTATCACCGTTGTCCGAACCATAGGGATACATGTTGCTCTGGACTGAAAATAAAAATTGTACTTATACACTGAAATATCAAGTTATGTAGATCACAACACGATATATCTATATATATATATCTATATAATTCAATTCCAGCAGTTCAGTCGTCAAAATTGCCTGATGAGTGTGGTCCTTGCACCATACGAAACAGTTCTGTAGCAATAAAACGATGATTACTCGTAAAACCTGAACTTCTGTGAAGTTATATCTATATCTATATCTATATATCTATATCTATATCTATCTCTCTCTCTCTATATATATATATATATCTGTCTGGTTTTGCCGAAACGTGGCTAAAGAAATTTCAAGTGCATATTTTAACAATTTGATATCTAAGTCGAAAAGTTACTAGAAATTATAACCTTTTAGTCAGTCAAACCATGAGGCCCAGGGCTAAGTGTCTGCCGAAGACAGATTAAGAATCCACGATCTTTGAGCACAGAATAGTCTTTCTAAGACAAAATTAGCAAAACCAAACACTCACGAAGTGTTTTATGCTTGGTACAAAGTCTTCTGGTAACACGAGCTCAACCACATTTTTTACCTGAGTTTTGTCTGTCAACGCCATCCGTAAATCACAATAAATGACCTTCGCGGCAATTACAATCTTTGAGCACAGAATAGTCTTTCTAAGACAAAATCACCTAAACTAAAGACTCGCGAATCGATCACGAAGTGTTGTATTAAATGCTTGGCACAAAGTATTATGGTAACACGAGCTCAACCACATACCTGAGTTTAGTCTGTCAACGACTTCGGCAAATGACAAATAAAGCACTTAGCTTTCGGAGCAATGATAACACCCTTGAAAAACACTGATAATATTCCGTCGTAATATTTTCGTCAAATGACTCACAAAAGCTCTCGCGTTCATGTTCTCAACATAAAACACACGTAAACACTAATACAGCCGATTTTTACGAGATCCCGGATGTACCCCAGGTTTTTTAAAAAGGACAGATGAAGGGCCCGCCTATAAACGTTTGTAACTAAGTCTCCGGCCTGGTGAGAAATCAGCTCAACTTTTCTCTCTACGAATAGACTTGACTCCTAGAACCTACTTTCTGCAGAGGCCCGAGACTCGTCACCACCCGGAACAAAGCTCTCAACATCGATACCTTTCCGTCTCGAGCCCGAGATTAGTGTTTCACCCGTATATAACCAAATGAAGCAAAATACGGTAAGATATTGGACAAGGACGACTTTGCCAATTGTGAGACTTGTTACTTCATAATATAACGCTTAATGATGCCTTCCGGAAAACTTTGCTCCAGGTAGCTGAGAAGAAATCTAGAAAATTAAGTCAGAATGTTAGGAAAATTAAAATCAGGATGTTTGAAAAACATATCCTGCAGGTATCTTTTTGCAAATTCCGACAAATGTATGATGAAAGATTTAGTTTGATCAGACTTACAGCTGGAGCAGCTCTTCCCTACAAAGAGAGGGGCGCATAAGCAACTGTAGTCATTCACTCCGTCAATGCAAGTTCCACGGTTAAGACACGGGTTTGGATAACAGTCGTCAGTGTCTATAAGGAGAAACAAAGATTTGAAAACCATTAAGGTGATAAATGCACGTAAATCTTACAAACTGATATGGATACTGAGATTCAGTGATATTTTTAAACTTACTATTAGAACAGTTCTTCCCTACAAAACCAGGCACGCATGTGCAATTATAGTCATTGACTCCGTCTATGCAAGTCCCATTGTTTAGACACGGGTTTGGATAACAGTCGTCAGTGCCTAAGGAGAAACAAAGATTTGAAAACCATTAAGGTGATGAGTGAACGTAAATCTTAAAAACTGATATGGATACTGAGATTCAGTGATATTATTAAACTTACTATTAGAGCAGTTCTTCCCTACAAAACCAGGCACGCATGTGCAATTGTAGTCATTGACTCCGTTTATGCAAGTCCCATTGTTTAGACACGGGTTTGGATAACAGTGATCAATGTCTAAGGAGAAACAGAGATTTCAAAACCATTAAGGTGATAAGTGCACGTAAATCTTACAAACCGATATAGATATTGAGGTTTGATATTTTTAAACTTACAGTCACAGTTCTTCCCTACAAAACCAGGCACGCATGTGCAGTTGTAGTCATTGACTCCGTTTATGCAAGTCCCACTGTTTAGACACGGGTTTGAATAACAGTGATCAATGTCTAAGGAGAAACAGAGATTTGAAAACCATTAAGGTGATAAGTTTAACATCCGCAGGACATTGAAAAATAAGGCTGACATTGCCACTTGAAAATATCAACCAAAAAAATTTGTGCGTAATACTGCTTTACTGCGCTAAGTTCAGAATCGAGAATAACCTAAAGTGGGTCAGGGCTAAAGGAAACGTGTTCGATCTGCCGTTCTTGAGACTATTATTCAGGGCACCAGGAACTGAAATTCTGTCTTTATGTCTATTGCATATTACTCATGAAACAAACATTAACTACTCACCTATTGAGGAAGACATGCTAATGGATAAAGAGACGCTTTTGGATGGGCTTATCGATAAGGAAGCACTTTCACTTTTACTGAACGATCCTGACTGACTTGTAGACAGGCTTGTCGAAAATGATATGCTGGCAGTTTGGCTTGCAGAAGTAGAGACACTAGTTGACGCACTTATGGAGGCGGAGACCGACACACTGGTCGATGGTGAAGCAGAAACACTTGTCGAGACACTACTTGACACACTACCAGAGATGGGAATTGACACGCTGGTCGAAGTGGAGGCTGAGACACTTGTTGATAGACTGGTCGAACCACTAGATGAGGTAGAGGCTGACAAACTTGTCGACATGGAGGCTGACAGACTTGCCGATATACTGTTTGACACGCTAGCAGAGGTAGAGGTCGATAGACTCGGTGACAATCTTGTGGATAGGGATACCGACTCACTGGTCGACACGCTAGTATAGATGGAGGTAGAAACACTCAGCGACGCACTGGTTGATGGTGAGGCCGAGACACTTACAGAAACGCTAGTTGACATGCTAGCAGAGGTGGAGGTCGAAGCACCGTTTGAGAAGCTAGCAGAGGTAGATGTCGACATAGTTGGCAACACACTTGTCGAAACAGTAGCAGAGGTGGAGGTCGAAAAACGGGTGGACCTGGAGGTTGAGACACTTGCCGAGACGCTGATTGACAGGCTCGCAGAGGTTGAGGTCAAAACACTTTGGGACAAACTGGTTGATGTTGAGGCCGACACACTTGTATATAAACTGGTTGAACCGCTGGATGAGGAAGAGGCTGACAAACCTGTCGACATGGAGACTGATACACTGGGTGACAAGCCAGCAGAGTTAGAGGATGAAAAACTTGGTGATAAGCTTGTCGATATAGAGGCCGATAAACCGTTTGACACGCTAGCAGAGTTAGAGGTTGACAAACTTGGTGACAAACTTGTTAATATAGAGGCCGATACACTGTTCGACAAGCTAGCAGAGCCAGAGGTTGACAAACTTGGCGATAAACTTGTCGATAGAGAGGCCGATACACTGTTTGAAACGCTAGCAGACTTAGACGTCGAGAGACTCGGCGACAAACTCATCGATAGAGAGGCCGATACACTGTTTGACATACTAGCAGAGTTAGAAGTCGACAGACTTGGCGACAAACTTATTGATAGAGAGGCCGATACACTGTTTGACATGCTAGCAGAGTTAGAAGTCGACAGACTTGGCGACAAACTTATCGATAGAGAGGCCGATACACTGTTTGACATACTAGCAGAGTTAGAAGTCGACAGACTTGGCGACAAACTTATCGATATTGAGGCCGATACACTGTTTGACACACTAGCAGAGTTAGAGGTTGACAAACTTGGCAATAAACTTGTTGATATAGAGACACTGCTTGACAAGCTAGCAGAGTTCGAGGTTGACAAACTTGGTGATAAACTTGTCGATATAGAGGCCGATACACTGTTTGACACGCTAGCAGAGCTAGAGGTTGACAAACTTGGTGATAAACTTGTCGATATAGAGGCCGATACACTGTTTGACACACTCTCAGAGTTAGAGGTTGACAAACTTGGTGATAAACTTGTCGATATAGAGGCTGATACACTGTTTGACACACTCTCAGAGTTAGAGGTTGACAAACTTGCTGATAAACTTGTTGATATAGAGGCTGATACACTGTTTGACACACTCTCAGAGTTAGAGGTTGACAAACTTGGTGATAAACTTGTTGATATAGAGGCCGATACACTGTTTGACACGCTAGCAGAGCCAGAGGTTGACAAACTTGGTGATAAACTTGTCGATATAGAGGTCGATACACTGTTTGACACGCTAGCAGAGCCAGAGGTTGACAAACTTGGTGATAAACTTGTCGATATAGAGGTCGATACACTGTTTGACACGCTAGCAGAGCCAGAGGTTGACAAACTTGGTGATAAACTTGTCGATATAGAGGAAAACACACTGTTTGACACGCTAGCAGAGTCAGATGTTGACAAACTTGGTGACAAACGTGTTGATATAGAGGCTGACACACTGTTTGACAGGCTAGCAGGAGTAGATGTTGACAAACTTGGCGAAAACCTTGTCGATATAGAGGCCGATACACTGTTTGGCACGCTAGCAGAGTTAGATGTCGACAGAGTCGGCGACAAACTTATCGATAGAGAGGCCGATACACTGTTTGATACGCTAGCAGAGCCAGAGGTTAACAAACTTGGTGATAAACTTGTTGATATTGAGGCCGATACACTGTTTGACACGCTAGCAGAGTTAGAGTTCGACAGACTCGGCGACAAACTTATCGATAGAGAGGCCGATACACTGTTTGACACGCTGGCAGAGTTAGATGTTGACAAACTTGGTGACAAACTTGTTGATATAGAGGCCGATAAACTGATTGACATGCTAGCAGAGCCAGAGGTTGACAAAGTTCGTGATACACTTGTTGATATAGAGACACTGTTTGACAAGCTAGCAGAATTAAATGTTGACAAACTTGGAGATAAACTTGTCGATAAAGAGGCCGATACACTGTTTGACACGCTAGCAGAGCCAGAGGTTGACAAACTTTGTGATAAACTTGTCGATATAGAGGCCGATACACTGTTTGACACGCTAGCAGAATTAGAGGTTGACAAAGTTGGTGATAAACTTGTCGTTATAGAGGCCGATACAGCGTTCGACACGCTAGCAGAGTTTGATGTTGACAAACTTGGCGATAAACTTGTTGATATAGAGACACTGTTTGACAAGCTAGCAGAGTTAAATGTTGACAAACTTGGCGATAAACTTGTCGATAAAGAGGCCGATACACTGTTTGACGCACTCTCAGAGTTAGAGGTTGACAAACTTGGTGACAAACTTGTCGATGTAGAGGCCGCTAAACTGTTTGACACGCTCTCAGATTTAGAGGTTGACAAACTTGGTGACAATCTTGTCGATATAGAGGCCGGTAAGCTGTTTGACACGCTTTCAGAGTTAGAGATTGACAAACTTGGTGATAAACTTGTCGATATAGAGGCCGATAAACTGTTTGACACTCTAGCAGAGCCTGAGGTTGACAAACTTGGTGATAAACTTGTTGATATAGTGGCTGATACACTGTTTGACACGCTCTCAGAGTTAGAGGTTGACAAACTTGGTGATAAAATTGTCGATATAGAGGCCGATAAACTGTTTGACACGCTCTCAGAGTTAGAGGTTGTCAAACTTGGTGGTAAACTTTGCGATATGGAGGCTGATACACCGTTTGACACACTCTCAGAATTAGAGGTTGACAAACTTGGTAATAAACTTGTCGATTTAGAGGCCGATAAACTGTTTGACACACTAGCAGAGCCTGAGGTTGACAAAATTGGTGATAAACGTGTTGATATTGCGGCCGATGCAATGTTTGACACGCTAGCAGAGCCAGAGGTTGACAAACTTGGTGATAAACTTGTTGATATTGAGGCCGATAGACTGTTTGACACACTAGCAGAGTTAGAGGTTGACAAACTTGGTGACAATCTTGTCGTTAGACTCGGCGACAAACTCGTGGATAGGGATACCGACTCACTGGTTGATACGCTAGTATAGATGGAGGTAGAACCACTCGGCGATACACTGGTTGATGCTGAGGCCCAGACACTTGCAGAAACGCTCGTTGACATGCTAGGGGAGGTTGAGGTCGAAGCACTGTTTGAGAAGCTGGGAGAGGCGGAGGTCGACAGACTTGGGGACACACGTGACGAAACAGTAGAGGAGGTGGAGGTTGACACACTGATGGAAGTGAAGGTTGAGACACTTGCTGAGGAACTGGTTGAGAAGCTAGCATAGGTTGTCGATGTGGTGTCTGAAAGATATGAGGAGACGTAGATTTAGAATAAAATAAATAGGTGATTCCTTATTTTCTGTGATCTACCAATGTATGGACGTAAGGCCTATGACAAAGAGAAATTGTTTTTATTGTTGATTGGGACTGCGCATAGGTTCAGTGAGAATTTTTATGAGATCATTCCCGATTCGAGAAATTGAAGATGTTAGGCCAAGCTATCAAAAAGTAAGAAAATTATACGAAAATTTGTTCTATTTACTTGCATCACGCAGAAACAATTATCGAACAGACGACCCTACGACTTAACGAGCTATTCCGTTCTTTCTGTAGCTCGCAAATGGATGGGATTTTGCCGTATCTTTACTCTATTACTGTCTAACCGGTCATAATCGGTTATACTGTATTACCGTATTATCGATCACATACATGTAAGAAAACTATTTCGTAGAGTAGACGCATTTGACGGGGCGCTTGGGACATTATTTTGATGCTAGTGGTATGGACAATGAGTGCTTGTGAGAGCAAGACGTACAAGTTGATGTGTGACCTTCTAGTCCAAGCATCCGGGAGAAAAACTGTACCAGGAACTGGTAAAACTTGTATAACTACACTTTTAAAAGTTTATTTTCCGACGGCTTTGGTGTTGCAGCGTTGACGAAATGAGTTGGACGAACACTATGAACATGGAAATACCCTTGAGACAATGCTGAGAGACAGGATTGTGTGTGGAACACGGAATAGCCCCTATGCATGATTACGTCAGACGAGTAAATTTCACCAACAAGCCTCGTTTGTGAACAAAATTTTTTGCATTTGCACTTTTTGTGCGTGGGTATTCTTTTCAACTCTACTGCCTTGGGAATTCATTTCTGCGAAACTTCGCTTATTTTTAATTTCAAAACGAGGCTTGGTGGTGAAATTTGCTTTTGTGACGTAAACATGCATAACGGCTATTAGAAGATATAGCGACGCCTGCCTTTGGAATCGAAATTTGCGATTTTCATGTACCCCCTAATTCAATTTGTTTTCCCTACAAAAGTTTTGTGTTCACTCCCTCAAGAGACGATTGCTACTCCTACGAGAGTTTGAAAAGAATTCTTATGCAAAATTTTGTGGGGAAAACAAACTGCATTATGGGGAACGTGAAAGTCGAAAATTGATCTCCCAAAAGCCATATAAACAGCAACAGCCATGAAAAAATATGACAATGCGTCAGGAATCGAAGTGGAGTCGGTAAACAAGGTAACGGTACGGCAAAACGGAAACATGTGTTCGTGAAGTTTATTCTGGGATTCCTGTTAACACATACAGCTTGGACAGGTGTCATATACGGATACTTCTTTGTGGCCTTTTCTTTCGTAAACGATTGCAATTTTAACGTAAGGTAAAGAGTTAAATTTTTGAATAGTCTTAGAGGGAACCAAATTTAACCCCAAGTTAACTTTACTTTAAAAGTATAGGCAAGGCTAGGTTCACTTGTTATAGGTACATCAATAATGAAAGGCAGTTTACTCGGTGACAGGAGCGTTTATCATAATTGTATTTAATGTTTTCGGAGTTTTGGAGATCAGTGTACTGGTGTGGTGGTACAGGGAAGAGAGATAAGCTCACGAAAGGCACCGATTCGATTCTGGTTTGTTTACTAGAAACTTGTCTTAAAAATGGCAATAACCTTTTAAGAAAGAGAAATGCACTTCGGCTTGCCCCTTGGCGTTCTCCCTGGCTCTACTATGATTTTTCTTTGATGAATGAACTATAATGCAACCAAGGGCACAATGAGAGGTACTTCACTTACTAACTGTCTTCGGCGAGTTCTGTATTTTCATTACATGACGTTCATGAATTTCGGTGAATTTTTGCCTGTTTTCTAGATGTTAAAAACTGAACAAAACAGCTTGAATACGCTCGCTAGAAAAGCTGATTAAAAAGGAATGGAATAGCGGTTGGACAATGGACATCCTATTACTGTCATAATAATGCAATCGTCGAGCTAGCAGTTGCTCGTTTGTGTTATATATATATATATATATATATATATATATATATATATATATATATATATATATATATATATATATATATATATATATAACACAAACCTACCTATATATATATATATATATACCTGGATTTTTGAAAACCGGGTGAGCAAAAATATCAAGTCATTCTACTACTTGGCAATTTAAAACAACAAAACTCATTCAAAGGCCGATTAAAAGCCTTTATATGACGCCGGGCAGTGCGTTAATGGTCCCTAGAAGCATTCCAACGAGTCCAAATTTAGAATGACGCAAATTTTAGAACATTTATTCAGTAAACTGACTTCGCGAAGTTTCAAACCGGTGTCATTTCAGTTGAGTGAGCTGCAGCGAAAGAGTGCCTGGTTAAGGCTTACATAACAACTTAAATAGGTAGCAAAACACTACTTTTTTGGCGGTCCGATAAACAACAGGATTCCGCATGGAATAGACTACGAACTGAATGAAACATAGTGCACAAATTATCACCTTCTTGTCTGCAAAAACCGGCCTATGGTGCAATGCCATTAGAGCCTGCTGAAACTAGACCTAGATCTAATTTTCCTGAGTCGAGAGTTGCTTTTCCAAGGTACAATCAGCTAAGCACAATATTAATGGCTGGCACAGAATATTTTGGCGAAACCGCAGTTCAACCACGCAATCACATACCTGTCAACAGCATGCGGAAATCACACAATCACACACTTTCGCGGCACTGATAAGACTATCCACAACCACGCATAATCTTCTCACGTTTAACATAAGCGAAATATCATCGAATAACTCGGAAAAACTCAGCCTATTGCCAGATAAACACCTCTGGACCTTTCTCTTACACTCGTCTTATTCAAGTTCCCGGATGTAGAGTCACACGGTCGGCGGATCACCGTAGCCTTGTTTTCACACCAGAAAAATACTAAGTCTTGGCCTGGGTCAAAGTTCAGCTGCAATTTTGCTCTCAACTAATTCATTTGACTCCTAAGAGCCTGTTCCCGAGGCCAAAGACTTAGTGGTTACCTTAGAAAAGCGAACAATATCGTACCTTTCTGTCTCTCTGCATTGTTCTGCATTGTTTTGAACTGATCTTGAGGTGTTGTTTTGTGGGAAAAATCTCTGTTTTTTTTCTAACTGAATTAATTCGAAATGAAATGATTGATGTCTTATCTAGCCACTAGAATATGAAATTCTTCGTCTTGAAAGTGCTGTTACCACCTATTCAAAAATTAGCAGCCTGAAGTTTTCCCAAAAGAACAATTATTCATTTTTGACAATAGTTTCCGTCTCAATTTCTCTCACGCGTCTTTTTCGCATTCAAGTTACAAGGTATCTCTCATATGACCCTCCGTTTAAACGTGTTAAAGGATGTTTAAGTAATACGAAACTCTACTTTATCTTACACAACTTGGGCTTCGAAACACGAAACGTTGGTTGGAATGCAATCAATTGCCTCATCATAGGCTGATCCGTGTGTAGATTAAAGGAATCCTTGACAGATGGAAAGATAATTTTTTTTTTACAAAAAAAGCTGGTTTAAGTTAGCATTTGTTGTTGGCTCTTGATCAGACACCATGCTGCCTAACTAAAAAAAGGACTTATTGTTCCCATTATGATTACTAATGATTATTAATGATTACCCCATTAGAACAAAGGAAGTGAAAACCTTTGTTCGTGTGCTTTAGTGAAAGTATCCAGTTGGGAAAACGAAACCACGTGGCATGAGCTTCATCAATCGCTTTCGTACACACGAGAGTGTGAAAAAACGTAGCGCCCTAAAGATGGCATACTCTTGACCTAGTAGTTGGAACTTGTTGTTGTACACAGTTCATAATAAACCCTTAATCCGTAAACTCAGTGCCTTCTCAAGAGAGGTAGTAAGTTTTAGACATGATTTCTTCATGTTTATTTTTTGTTGTTTTCTATCTCCTTGCCAACGATCGAACTACATGTCATCCATCAATGCTTAAGTGGAAATGTAAAGACACCTTAACAGCTGTATCTCGGTAGCTAAACCTGCAGTACCTTTACTAGTCATATCTGCACTCACATGCAAAGGATAACTTCATATATAGCCTCTGGTAAAAAATAAATCTGTGGAAAATATTAAAATGTATGTTGTATTTCTACTGGCAACGCTTTCTCTCATTGTTCTGTCTAAAAAGTGATAACAGCGATCAGAAGGTTCCAGATCGATCCAAGAAAAAGAGTCTGTACGAACTCAGTCAATTGAAAACTATTTACCTTCCTAGAAAATTTCGATTCTTTTGTCATTGAGTTCTACCCTTTTCTTCATGGTTTTTCAAATAATTAGTTATTAAAGGAATGCTGCTCGATCGTTTCTCAAGATATCTATCAATCCTTGAATGATTTAACATATTCTGTTAAAGGCATCGTAGAAAGTACAACTGATTCGCTCTACTCTTAATCGTAATTTGCGTCACTCTGAAGTTGTAAGCTATTGTGGTGGTACTATTTTTATCCATCGGCACTTTTTTGTGAACCTATACAATGGCATAACTGGAGGCCAAGATTTCGGATGTATTTCGGATTTCTCGCCGGCGTCTAAAAACGATTCACTTATTGGCGGATTTTCTAGTTTGAACGTATAACAGTATAAAACAGTATAATCTATAATCTCGGATTTAAGCATCTGCAACGCAAAACAGTCATTTCATGTTTCTCCTTCGATACTTTGCAGTTTTATATTTGCTAGTAAGGAAAAGACCGCTTAGTTTCTAAAGAAATCT